TCAGTCCATCCTCCACAAGACTACTGAGAAGCAAGACTACTTTGTGCGCAGAATTCAGATTCTATCCGGTTCTCGCGATGCCGTTTACCGGCGTTCAGGTGCAGGCTCAGTTTAGTGCCGTGTAGTTCGGGGACCACGGGATCCGCAAGAAATCGTCTCTACAAGATCTGCTGCGAAGGAAAGTACGCCCAACTTCCCGCCCCTTTCTGTTTGCGCAAGGAGCCGACTGTGCCGTACACTATGCATATCATTATCCAATCTACTCAACCACCTTCACATGGAGATGTTGCGGGTACGTACTTCCACATCTTCAAGTATATCTACCTCCACCGCAAAAAGATCCCCGCGAAGGCTTGCATGGACATGTGCCAAGGTAACCCTCTCCGTTTTGACTGGGGTTCCTAAACTCGTCTAGCATTGATGGGCCTCAAGTACATGTTGGACAAAATGGGCGGGAAGCAACTCCGTCATTGGGTCATTAAGGCTGTGTGAACCCGCTGAAACCTTAAGTTCAAGGACTTCGGTTGTTTTTGCTTCAACAAGAATACAAATTCAAAGTCTGAGCTGTTGGCAGCTGTTGGGGCCTTGGACAGCAACAAAATGCCTCTGTTGAGCTGCCCGAGTTGCATCATGAATATTTTGACATTGTATTTCTGCAAAATGCGGCTGTGTTCGATGAGTTTCGAATTTGGGAACTCGGGATGAGGTCCTGGATCTTGAAATCAAGAATCGCAACAGCGGTCTTGCTGCAGCCAGCGGCGTGTGCTTGAACTGTGCTTGCTTGTAGAACTCGATCCGCTGATCACCGTTAATGGGATTCTCCTTTGCATTTTCTGCCGTGCTGCTGTCTTGTAATTATGACTTGTGAGAGTTTGATCGCCGGGCATGCGGGTTTCAAATGTGGAGGCGTTTTGAATTGATTTGAGGATGATCGAATCGAGTCCAAGCTATACAATGCAAGTCTGAGTCTGAGACTCTGAGTCTCTGAGACTGGATTGAGTCTGACTCGGCCCGCAACTGGGCCCGACCGCCCTGGTCCCTGGTGCTTGTAATTGTTCGGGTCGTGAGTTGAGCGCCCTGGCCCTTGTGTTTGAAATGACCGCTGTATACTGGCAGTGGATGGCTTTCTGACAGCTGGCTGGCTGCCTGTTAGAGGACGGGCTGGCGTTAGAGTTTGGCATTCATTTTGTTTCGAACTCGTGCACTCGGCAGCCTGCAGGCGCGAAGAGTATTACATGTTGTGATTCTGTGATTAGCACAGGCACAGGTGCTAACTATTTACTATGCCTTTTTGGTTGTTGATTCTATTGTATCCGTCTGATTTCAGAAGGGATTCCCGGATTCCCGTGTGGTTACAGTTTTGGAGATTTAAGGTCACATGCACACACGCACGCCATTTCAGTACGAGTCGAATTTATCTTTGCACACTGTGCATTTTTTGTCATCAAAGTCAATGCCGCGCCTGTTGCATGCGGCTCGTTGTCTCCCAAATAATGGCGTACCAAACCTTGGTTGCATGCTGGCGAAAACAGTTTCAACTACAGCAGCGGTCCAATAGTTTCAATGATTAGATAAGCTGATAGTCTGATAGGCTGCCGCGTGGCTGCTAGGCATGGCAATGGTAAGGGCTTTTCAGAGCTGCTTGGTGGCAGAGGGCTGTGAAGATCTGACGCGACGGATCGAAACTGACTTTAGAGAGGTTTGCTCGTTGAAGTACCAATGGCAGCCTCTGACAGAAGCAGCGAATGCAAGGATGTCAAGCATCTTTCAGGATCTCGCAAGGACGGAGGATGCTGACAGTGGCCCAGGTGATCCGAACCGTGGTCGGAGGCGTGGAGGGCGGCAGCGCCCAGTGAATCTTTCAGGATTGATGCCAGGAGTGCCCATGCGCTGTCTGGTGTGGGAGCTGTACACGTACTTTGACAGTCAGGATGGTCCAGAGAATCTGGGTCACCCCGCAGTTTTTGGTCATGACGCATTCGCATCAGCGACTCAGCATGTTGATCCGTCCGGTCAGCCTCCTGACTACTTTTGCCTGGAGCGCTCATGGAAGCTCTAGCCTGCTGGATGACGGCCTCATCGTGGATTTGAGGCACGGCGTGGGAGCCGGTCATTTAAAGTTGCGTCCTGAAGGTCTGTGAGCCTTGTCCTGTCCTGACCTGCGAGGCTTGGGAGGTTTCCGAGCTGGCACTCACTTCATGACCATGATGTTCCCAGGCGGTGTACGGGGTAGTGGTTAATGGGGTCATGGGGTGTGTCGCGGTCTGCGTCGGGACTTTAGACCAAAAGTTTGGGTGCATGACCTTGAGGCCACAGGTCACGATCAACAAGTTTTGCAAGATGCGCTTTGTGTGGGACAAAGTCTTTACAACGATCAGGCCAGGACCACTGTTTGCATGGGTGGAATTTGGCATGTGGGTGTGGGTCTGTGGAGGCTGAGGTTGTCTGACTCATTGCTGCAAGTTGGTTTCAGGACATGCTATGATGGCATCTTCAATGAGATAGAGTTTGAAACTTTCAAGTTGCTTGGCCTACCAAAAGCCTGCTTGTCGACTTGTCGCCGAACTTGCTGCCCTTGCTACTTGCGTTCTGAGTTCAACGGCTGTATATGTTTCTATTTCTAGGTCCTAGAGGTCCTAGGTCGACAGCCAGAAAGCGCCAGCACCGGCACCGATTCTAAGTGGATGACTCAGTGGACTAATGCGGGCCACCCGGATTTCTGCATGTCCTTTGACAATTTGGCGTCATCATTGAATCATTGAATCGTTGGGGGCCAAGTGAGATGTGTGCGAGACCTGTGATGCCTGTGACTCTGATTTGAGTGACCTGGTGCTTATTTGGCAGTTTCAGACACTTTAGTTTAGGCCTCATGTGGGCAGTGGTGGGGTTGAGTTGGTTTGACTTTGACGGTAGACAGTTAGTCAGGGGGTGTCCCTTCCGATTCCGATTTGAAAGCTCAGCGTTGAGGAGCTTAGGGCCCAAATGCCGAAATCCGAAAGGGTGCTGCAGACTGCCCCAAAAAGAGAGCATAAATAAATATGCGGACCTGGGACAATGGGATATGTCTGAAAGCTAAGGCTTGTGATGCATGGCCACCTCGTGCGCAAGGAGACGCAGATTCTGGACTTGACCCTGGATTCATTTCTTCAGAGGATCTCCGACCAGGACAAATTGTGTTTGAATCAGCTTTCTTGACTTCTTGTGCTATTGTTGGCTAGCTCAGCGAGAGTCATGTTTGGAGCTCTGTGCATGTACTTGACTTCTCTCGATCTTGTGTGTTGCCGATGTTATGAATTCGTGAGTTACGTGAGTTTGTGCATGGCTTGGGCACCCTCCCAGCTTCCCAGGCCCAGGCCCTCCGACTGACTCAGCCCGGCCCGACCCTGCAGTGACAGGAAGCGGAAGCTGATTATTCCGACGATTTTGGTGATGGCGACGGCGGCGACGATGAGCATCATGATCATGATCATGGCCGGCGGGCAAGGCCACGAAGCTCAAAGCTCAACTTGAGACAGTAGCCCTTGCTCTCGGAGTCTGGGACTTTGGGGGTCGTCGCGTTCGATTGTTGGCTAGGGCCACAGATGATGGGCTGACGGGTTTGTTACGTCCACCTAGTTGGCTCATGTTCACTGAGCAGCAGAGCAGCACCCCAGGCGTCGCATTGGTGCCTGACAGCTGACTGACTGGCGGATGGAGGACTGGAAGTTGTGCTGTGCGAGTGCAATCTACTAGAGTGAGTGTAGGGCTCCCAAATTGTGGATGGACCCCTGGACCCTGGGCATTGGGCCGTGGGCACTCAATATAATTTGTTTCACCTAGAGTCGTAGAGCCTAGAGTTTGAGAATCCGCTATCTGTTTCGGAGTTCGGAAGTTGAGAGGCGTTTAGATTTCAGATTATTGACGACAGCCGCTGAGCGCAAAACTCCACCCAAAACCTCAAAAGAGGTCCAGACCTGGCCAGAATACTCCCAGCCCCACAAAGCTTGAACCTACATCTACCCCGACCCTGTCTACCCTACTTTGTAGCAGAGACTACTTCTGAACGCAGGATCGCAATGTGGCATCGCCGCAATATGCCCAGCGGCGCAGCATACACTTTGGGAGACTTGGGTGCGTGGTGTGTTTTGCGCAAGAACATGCTGTCACTTAAGCTGCTTCAAACACAGTAATATGTTGGCTCTGCTACTGCCAAGTTGCACCCTTCAAGTTCCTTCAGTGAAGTTTCACAATGCGTCCAGCTGATGAGTGCAAAGTGCAATTGCAAAGAAGTGAGAGAGCAGATTCATGTTTGGGGTCTTGAATCGGAATGCAAACCTAAAATCATTGCTGCACACCAAAGAGAAACAGGCTGTACGAACAGGTGGAACTTCGGAACTCGGTGGAACAAGGCCACACCAAAGCGAAACACAAGCTGAATACATACATGCCGTCCCTATTCACGCGTGACGAGTGTATCGCAAAGGCTCGAGGCCCTAGGCCCTCAAAATTTTGAGAAGGTAGTGAACTTCTTGTGTTCATGGTGAAATGTAGCAGCAGTAGCAGACAGATTAGTGCTGGAGCGAGGCAGGCGGAGCCTACAGAATCCCGTCCCCACCACCTCAGTGCAGGCTTTGAATTTGCAGAGCAGTGTGTCATAGCTTCAATAATAGGAAAGGGGTTGACGATGTACCCGCCCGGAGGCCTGGGCTTGGAGATTGACGCATCCTTTACGTCCAATCAAGCCTTCTGTAGGCTCAAAGCTACAATCGAAAACCCTCCACCCTCAACCTCAACAGGTCGTTGAACTTCTGAATGGTCGTAGTCGTTGCAGATTGCTCAGTCCGCAGCGCATGGCATGGAGTGTCATCAAGTCATCAATATCGGATCGGGCACCTCAATACCCAGAATGTCGTATCTTGATAAGAGGATACCAGTGACCAGTGATACCAGTTACCAGTGAGAACGTGACTGTTCAGAACTTTCGCAAAAAGGTGATACATGTTTGATTCAGTAGCAGCAGCATGAAGCTCATGGCACCCTTGATTTTCTTGTCCCTGCGCTTTGGGAGAATCAATGGTCAGCAGGATGGCAAGACCGTGAAGCTGAATGTGCCACAAACGCCTTTGACTGTACGCTTGGCCACTGATCACAAGTTGTGGCATTTGCTGAGGACGAATGCTAAGGATGAACAAGCTTCCCGAGAGACATGCATGGCTAGTTGCGCAGTGCTTGCACATGTGCAGGGGGGCCAAGAGTGTCAGGGTCAGCTGACGCCGTGGGGCGAAGAAGAGCAGGTGCTGCATGAATACCACGGGTATGCAGCAGACTGTTATTCACTGCAGTGCACTGCCATGCTTGTTCTGGAGCCAGGGCAGCTGCAGCTTCATTGTGGTGCTCGCATGCGTACATGTAGTAAGGTTGCTTTGGAAGCAGTTCCCATGGAAACGCTTTGCAGCACAGCCAAGATGTCTGCTCATGACATCTGTGCGCACCTCAAAGTTGACACAGCGGAGTTGCAAGCATTCCTGGATGCTCCATTGTTTCTGCAGTTGCCGGCTTTCTTTGGCCAGTTGATGGTCAAGGGATGTTGGTCCAGCCTCATGATGAGAACATCCTGGGTGCCACATGCACGGCATGCATACCAGAGGCGAGGGCACGTAGCACTACTGCAGTCTTGCAACTTCCCAAGCGCGTCGTTCCTTGCCAAGAAACACTTAGGCGCGGCTGCACCCTGCAAGCCGAGTGTTCCTGCTCTTGAGTGGACGCATGAAAAGGCCCAGAGCTTGCTGCAGGACTTGATCCGATGGTCTTGTGGCATCCTGGCAAATACTGTAGAGGATGCTGCTCCTGCAGAGCGCTTTCTGTTGGAAACGCATGTAGCAGCCTTGCGGACTTATGTGAGCCAGGTTCAAACCCAGACTGGGATGCAGTGCACCGGCGCCGGTGCCCAAGCCACAGGCATCAGGGTCAGATACAATGCAGACCAAATAGTGAAGTCACTGTTAGCAGCAATGCGTCTGAGAAGGATGGGTGATCTCAGTGAGACCGTTTCGCTTGCGCTACAAAGTATTCCTGGTTGGTCTGGATTGCCCGGAGGCATCGAATTGAAGTTCCCCAAGAGATCATCCCTGTACCGGTATCAGTTGCAGGCTGATGCCATGTACTGCTGTTATTGGGCTGAGAAACTTTCTGAGTTTGAAGGTGTTGCGTATTTGTGGCTGGACTCTTCACCTCAGTGTGGGCAGGACTGGCTACTCAGCATAATGCGTCTCATCAATAATGCTGATCTCGAGACTTGCGCCGAGAAGGTGCAGGTGTTGGTGTCAGCCGGGGAAAGGTTCCAAGCCACAGCTCAGGCCAGACAGGAGGAGACCGGGACCGGGAATGAGGGTGAGGGTGCAGACGGTGCAGAGTTGCAAGACATGGCACGTCAGCGCTACGAAGCCCGACGACAGCTCAAATCCATGATCTGCTTGCGCAGGCTGATTCCCACAGGCATTGGGAAGGGCAGAGGGAAACTTGAGCAAAAGGTCAAGTCGCTGGTGCGAAAACTCCTGGCAGAGACGCAGTCCCTCCCAGCGCTGCAGAAATTTCTCTGCCAGATCAGGGGTTTTTGCACGGATGCTGGAACCGAGCAAGGTGTTGCTGATATGGCAGGATGCACAGTGTCAGACATGCTGAAGGGTGTTCTTGCTGAAGAGTTAGAGTCGGAAGATGCGCAGCACGGGTCTCATCCTTCCCATCATGTTGTGCATGTGTTTGAGAATGCCCTTCTTTCGCCTGGCTCGCTTCACGTCCACAATAACATGATCTTGGAACTGGATACCAAGTTGGAGATGTGGGATTGGTGGTTAAGTGGCTTCAAAGCCATTGTGAAACTTTTCCACAGCAACCATGTCCGACAGAAGTTCATTGCCACATGCATACTCGACACAGATCATGCATGGCTCAGGGACCGCGCAGACCGGCAGATTCGAGAACCAGCTTCATGGAGATGGGGGTCTATTCAAGAATCTGTTTCCAAGGTTCTGAAAATGAAGTATGTGCTTCGAGTGGCTTGGAAGCCCCACCGGTATAGTGCAGGGGAGGGTCGTGTTGACAACAGCGACAACCCGGGCCAGAGGGAAAGGGAGGATCCACTTGATCTTGAGGCCATTACTGCAAGCGTCCAATCTGGCCAGTGGTGGCTTTACACCGAAGCAATTCAGAATCTGCATTTCCTGGGGGACAGCATTCGTGAATGGTTTGAGGGCTGTCCTTGCCATGAGCGCACCGGCAGTGGCCACGAGTGTGACAGGGATATTACAGAGTTGATGCGTACCGCATGTGCATCCAGTGCGCTTCCCTTTGAGGATGTCATATCTCGCTGCCCACTTCGAGGAATGCGCGCGCAGGAGCTTGCCAATGGAAAGTTCTGGCAGTTTTTCGAAGCTGCTGCCTCCATGTACAATTCCAAAGTTCTAGAATCGGCGGGCTCAGAAATGCGTGAAGGCTTGGAAGCAGACTTGCGTTCTGTTGTAGCAGATTTTTCAAGAGGCAAGTCTTTCATGTCCCAGTATCTGCAACTAAAGTTGAATTGCTGGAACGTCCTTCCCTGGTCACTGGTTGCACTGACCAGCGCAGATCCCTGTGTTGTCCAGCGATGTGGTCAGAAGATCTTGGCAGACTGGGAGCGTTCTCCCAAGAAGGCAGAATTGCACCACAGAGCTACTTGGTCCTTGTTTGGCAGCAAGATCGCTGCAGGAGCAACGGCAACGGCCTCAGAGGAACAAGAACAGAGCGCTGAAGGTCCGCTGGCGGCAGACACACCGGCCTTGCAAGAGCTGCGAAGCTTGGTGTCCTCAGACGCAGGCGCAGGTGTTCTCAGCCGAACAAAGCATCCCATCCTATGGAAGCAAGCCTGGGAGTTGTACTTCGTACCCACCGTGGAACGCATCCAAGAGGCTGACCACGCACAGGTCAACATTGGGGTTGGCAAGCGGAGAGTGGGAGGTTCATATGTGAGTTGCCTTTTGAGAGGGCCAGAGATCAGAGAATTGCTGCATGAGCCACCAGCCTGGGTGAAGTTCTTGCATCAGTACCCCAAAATCAAAAACGTGGATGAGATGGCAATGCGCTTGGGCTTTTATCATGTGCCATGCTGGCAAGAGTTGTGCAAACAGAAGTTACGGCACAGCGAGAAACAGGCAGCGGCAAGCAAAGTGTTGTACATTCTGGATCCGGAGTCGCAGTTTGCAAGTGTCCAGACAGCGAGGGAGAAGCGACAGAAGCATGAGGACAAGAAGAAGAAACAGCGGCAAGAATACTTTTCAAGTCTGGGGTTGGCTCGGGACAGCTGCTGGACTCAGAATATAGTATCGTGATTTCGGACCTCGAGTTTTGAAAACCCAATGCTTGAAAAGGCACAAAACAGTATCCCTGTCCCTGTTCCTGCCCTGGCCAACTATTGCCATCCCCTATCAGGTTCTTGGTCCGAGGAGAATGTCCGGAAGAACGCGGCAGCAGTTCATATGCACACCCGAATGGAGGAAGGTCGGCTGTACTCAATGCCGGCTTCTGGCCTCAGGTTTCTTCCAAGCTTGGCAGCAAGTTTGCGAGCGCCTGCAGCACCCCTGACGGAGCAAAGCCGGATCACTGTTGCAGATCTGGAGCCGGAGAGAGATGCATTGGACAACCCGCTTGCAATTGAAGTGCAGAGAGATGACCCGCAACGAGACATTGCTTTCTTGCGCGTCAATAGCAGTAAGATCGGTAGGCACAGGGGATTGCAGTTGCCAGCAGCCGCTGGGAAGCCTTTCCAGCCCACAGATCTTTCGGTCACACTCCATGCGTTCCAAGAAAGTTCTGGCAGTTGCTATGTGGATGTCCAGCGTTGTGCAGCTTGCGGCATTGCTTCAGCGAATGCCATTTTCTCCGTGGAAGCAGTGCCCGATATGGTAACCTTGTACGATGGACTCGAATCCTGGTCAACATGCCGAGCCCTGAGCTTTCGACTGCCTGGCATGAACCACATCCCTGGGGTGGAGGAACTGCTTGCCCAGATGATGACCAAAGGAGCTTTTCACAGCAGCTCACGGGACAAACGTGTTATGCTGTTGAAGTCGGATGGTGTTCTTTACCCAGCAGCCATGGCGCTCCAGACACATGGATATGTGCACTGTGCTTTCGAAAGTAACCTTGAAGCGGCATTCCATCTCACAGCACGTGCTATGCAGCAAGTTGTCCCCATGCATGAGGTTTGTTTACCGAAGCCGGTTTTCCCCGTTGCTGATACACTCTTGGCATTGTCCCGGGAGCAGTTGAGGGAGTGCACTTCTTGGGAGCTGTCCGAGATATTGCGCATCAAAGGTTGGCGCCTTCAGAAGTTGCCGCAAAAAATGGCTAAGCGGTGTGCGTTGCCTCCCCACACGCCTCAATCGCAGCAAGCAACATGGACATGGTATTGTCTCTCCACAAGTCTACAAGATGCCCGTGTCAGGTCCTACATGTTGGCGTTGGTTTGTTCGGAGCAGCTGTTCGGGGGATTGGTTTCGAAGATCCATCATGGTCAACGCAAGACTTACTACGAGTCTTTGCTGGATGACACATCTGCTGCCACAGGTGACCTCCCGGAGCTGGCTCCCCCAGCCCAACAGGACATGGTCTTAGAGCTTGAGGCAGAAGCCAACATTCTGCAATTGCAAATTCAGGCTCAGACAGAAGCTGTGTCGAGGGAGCGCAAAGCACGAATCAACTTGCCCAGGCATCGTCCAGTTGAGGCGCCAGATGATGATCCGGCTGCGGAAGATTTTACCTCCGGCGAGGAGGGTACTAGCTTGGAAATGCGCAGCCTAGCAGAGGATGATGATCAGGACAGCGGCGGTGATGATGACAATGATCCGCCGGGGCCGGGCTCAGGCGGAGGCCGCATGCGTAGCAGGTTTGTTGGACATGACAATGAAGATGCAACGTCCGCCGCAAATCCAGATGAAGTTGCAACGGCAGGAGACATGCCGTTAGGCGATGGTGGCTCCACTCCTGTCTCCCAGCTCTCGTATGAATTTTCTCCTCTGCTTGCAGACGATGCAGGTGATGCAAGTGTTGAGCTTGCTTCGGTTGACAAGGCTGCGTTGCTGAGCTTGATGGATGATTCTGATGCTCCAATGGCAGGGAACGATTTTTTGTCTGACCCAGACCTGCAGGTGTCGCTATATGATTTGGCTGTGGGCTCTGCAGAGGCCCAAGCCCAGCCAATGGCAGTGCCGGCGCAGGAGGACCCGGCGAGTCTGCCTGAAGCAGTTGAGGATTCGCAGCTGCAGCCTGTGCAGCCTCAGCCTGAGCAAGCTTCCACGACATCTCCAGCTGATTACATCAGGGTGCGAAACCCAGATTCGTTCATGTGGGGCCCAGGATTTCGCTTCACGTGGAGCCCCGCAAGCAAAAGACCACCATATGGGGCCTGGCAGTGCCTGTGCCGTTATCATAGGAAAAGTTCCGTGACGGCCTGCACGCGATCAATGGCCTTAACAGGCCCTAATCCTGATCAGAAGGACAAAGTTCGAAGACTCTTGAAGGCTTGGGCAGTGCAGGCGTGCCAGCACTCACGGAAGAGTACCCATGGTCATGTTCAGATCAGCTCGGCAGATGACATACCGGAAGAGGTGCTAGATGAGAAGATGAAGCAGTTGCCACCCCCTCCTTATAGTGTAGTGCCAGATGATGAGTTGGATGATGTGGGAAATGATGGGAAGGACGACGACGACGACGCTGATGAGCCCCCGGCCAACAAGCGCCAGAGAGTTTCTGCTTCCGGCAAATCAGCCAAAAGCAAAGCAGCTGCAGCTTCCAAGGCTGCAGCCCGCTCCAAGGCCAAATCGAAAGCCAAGGCTAAATCAAAGGCCAAAGCCAAAGCCAAAAGCTTGGTACCTGCACCTCCGGCTCTGGAGCTTCCAGATGAGTTGTCCACTGACAAATCCTGTCAGGATAGCTCTGGCGGCAGCAGCAGCAGCAGCAGTGCTAGTAGTAGCAGAAGAAGTCGTAGCACTGGCAGCAGTAGCAGCAGCAGCAGCTGCGATGACAGCGATGACAGCGCTGATTCCAGCTGAAGTAAATTCCGAGACCTCTTCTAGCCAGCTCTTCAAATGAAGAGTCACGCCTGTGAGACCTGCGTTGTGCACAGTGCAACACAGCAAGAGTTGGCGCAGACACTGTCAAGGACACCTGTCATGCGACACGTTCAAGCTGCGAGCATGCTCTCGGGATCTCTCGGGACAAGGCTCAAGGTTCTTGATCGTGGTAGCCCAGTAGCACCAACAAAGGGTAGCTTGATGGTAATGTGAAGCAACACTAGAGCCCCCCGGCCCTGCAGAAAATGCATCCTCTTCAGCCCGACTCAAGCGCCAGGCCTGCCAGACGCGGGAGTCACGTAGGACAGTTTGAGAGTTTGAGGTGGGTACTGTCTGTTGGTGTCTCAAGCGAGTAGACAGCTCCTCTGGAAATCCAGGTAATGCTCGGACCCGGGGCTTCGGTTTTCAGATGATTTTTATGCTTCAGGCATTGAGAGCCATCGGCTGTTGAGAGTTTTCGTTGATTTGTGGGGGTGTTCAGTGGTTTCAGGGGCTAGGTCAAGGTTTTCATTTGGCAGCCTAGCAGGGTCTAGTACCCGGGGTTTAGGCGCCCAAGGGTTCTTGTGAGCAGCAGCAGCAGCAGCAGCAGCAGCAGCAGCAGCAGCAGCAGCAGCAGCAGCAGCAGCAGCAGCAGCAGCAGCAGCAGCAGCAGCCAGCAGCAGCCAGCAGCAGCAGCAGCAGCAGCAGCAGCAGCAGCTGAACAGATAAGGGGTGGTTCAGACCGAAATGACTTTGCCATGACTGCCTTATTCTGTACTTATTATCATTAGTGGCAGTAGTAGCAATAGTGGCAGTAGTGGTGGTAGTAGTAGTAGTAGTAGTAGTAGTAGTAGTAGTAGTAGTAGTAGTAGTAGTAGTAGTAAGTAGTAATAGCACTAGTTGTAGTTGTTGTTGTTGCTGTGTTCTTGTTTGGTAGTAATATCAACAATGATACTAATAGTGATACTAATATTACTACTAAGACGAATCCTACTGACATAATATCAATAATATAATGATAATAGTCATAGTATATCATGGTAATAACAGCAGTAGCATAATAGCGGTAGCATCCATGACCTCCCACGGTTCATTAGCTTTCGTGCAATACGCTTGTCAAGCAGTCAAGCTGGAAACGCCTGATTTCCTGGTCAGGCAGTGAGAGTTCCTCGCAGTCTACGTGGCGGCCTAAATTGCCTTAATCTTTACCAGGTCTGCTAAAGATTCTGTCGAAGCACGCAATATTTCAGGATTGTCCTTAAGTTTGTTGGCCTGTGTGGTTGGAGTTGCTTGTAGCACGGTTGCGTGTTGTTTCTTCTGGTGTTTGAAGGAATCTTGGAAGAGATCGCAAGTTTTCAATGCTGTTGGGCAGTGTCCAGGCAAGGAACAAGTTCGGAACAAGCGAGCCCTCAAACAGGCCATGCCAAGGCTCAGCCATGGTTCGGGGATGGTTCGGGCGCGGTTCGGGCGCGGTTCGGGCGCGGTTCGGGCGCGGTTCGGGCGTGGTTCGGGCGTGGTTCGGGCGCAACGTGGTTCGGGCGCGGTTCGGGCGTGGTTCGGGCGCGGTTCGGGCGCGGTCCGGGCGCAACGTGGTTCGGGCGTGGTTCGGGCGCGGTTCGGGCGCGGTTCGGGCGTGGTTCGGGCGTGGTTCGGGCGCACGTGGTTCGGGTGCACGTGGTTCGGGCGCGGTTCGGGCGCGGTTCGGGCGCGGTTCGGGCGCGGTTCGGGCGTGGTTCGGGCATGGCTCGGGCGTGGCTCAGGTGTGGCTGGGTTGGGTTGTTTTCCTGTCAAGTGGTAGATGGTTTCTGTGGGAAACTTGCAGTTAAGGGCAAGTGAAAAATTTGCATTTTTAGGCCCAGAAACCGTCCCGGAAACAAAATCACTCCCGGCCTTGACGAAAAAGGCCCAAAAGACACTCCAGCAGCTTTGGGGCTGCAATTTAAGGAACTTAAGGACATTTAAGGACACAGCGACATTTTAGGATTCGGAGTGCTGTAGTATGCCACGCGCCGAAGGAGATTGACCGGCTTTCTACAGTTTCAGATATCCTGCGAGCCTTTCAGTTGGTAGCAGCTGGCTGCGCTTGTGCTGCCTCCTTTATTTGCTTCTTGTAGCTACATGTGCGACAAGAGGGATTGCAAGTGGTATCATAAACTACAGCATTCACGAACTTTTGCAGAGTGGGACCATTTGCTCAGGCTGCGCATCGTTGCTCCTTAGTGGCCGGGCCCTTGTGTGATAAGCTGGCTGCTTCCTTCTTCTAGGCTGTAGGAGCTATGCCAGTGCTCGCTGCAGGCTGTAGGAATTGTGGCAGCAATTTCAACTGTTGCTGCTTTGCTTTAGATGGGTAGGTTCGCTGCCTCCTTTATTTGCTTCTTGTAGCTACTGGGCGACAAGAGGGATTGCAAGTGGTATCATAAACTACAGCATTCACAAACTTTCGCAGAGTGGGACCATTTGCTCAGGCTGCGCATCGTTGCTCCTTTGGCCGGGCCCTTGTGTGACAAGCTGGCTGCTTCCTTCTTCTAGGCTGTAGGAGCTATGCCAGTGCTCGTTGCAGGCTGTAGGAGTTGTGGCAGCAATTTCAACTGTTGCTGCTTTGCTTTAGATGGGTAGGTTAGGTTAGGCGGTTAGGCTATTGCTAGCAGCGAGCATGCTTCTGTTTGTCGCAACCGGTTTTCCCCTTCAGCTAGACCTACCACAAAAGCGTAACATAGAATTCGGACGTAGAATTGGGATGGGTGCGGCCCGGCTACAAACAATCAGGTGTTTGTTGCAAAAACAACACAACGCAAGACGCGACGTAGAATTCGGATGGGTGTGTACCGGCTACAAGCAATCAGCTATTTATTGCAAATACAACACAACACAAGAGGCGACACAGAATTCGGAGACTAGTGCTGCTACTACTTTTGTTGCTACTACTACTACTACTACTACTACTACTACTACTACTACTACTACTACTACTACTACTACTACTACTACTACTACTACTACTATACTACTACTCCTACGGCACCAGTGCAAATATTCCTATAACTGCTACTTCTGCTAGCTAGTGCTACATTGGTAGCAGTTCTAGCAGCACTAGCAATAGTAGCTAATCTCTCTGAGGCTGTCCTCTTTGTGAACCTCGGTAAGTCTCTCTTTCTCTCTCTCCGCGAAAGGTTGCAGTTTGGGCCGGCTGTCGCTGATCAAGGCTGAGCTTGGCATGCTGTGGCCCGAGCCGCAGTGAGCACGAGAGAGCGAGCGAGAGAGAGAGAGAGAGAGAGAGAGAGAGAGAGAGAGAGAGAGAGAGAGAGAGACAGAGAGAGACACAGGAGAAAAGCGAAGATAGAGCGAGGATTGAAGAGAGGAGCGTGAGCGAAGAAAGAAAAAAGACCCGGTTCAAGCCAGAGAAAGAGACTTCCACCCAAACCGCCCCAACCCTTTCTGTCAGCACTCCCCTGCCGCCCCTGCCGCTGCTGAATTTCATCTTCCCAAAGAGTCTTCCCCCTCTTGTATGTTCTGGCTTCAGAAAGGGGGCAGCAGTTTTGGTTTCAAGTCCGTCGATCAATGGCAACGGACCTCACTGACCTCAGGGCTGAAGAGGATTTATTCTCTGATGCTGGTGGTGATGCGGGCAATGGTGCTGAGGAGCTGACTGCTCCAGTTTCTGCCCCAGATGGCCCTGCCAATCCTGAGGAGTCCCATCGCTTCTGTTCCAGGTTTTTCGAACGCTTGGCCGTTGTGGAGCTTGGGGGGGAGCATCCTGGCTTGCAGCAATGCCTCGTGGAATCGCTGCAGCATGGCTTGACCTTGACCACAGACTACAGCGGCTTGGGCACGGCAGAGGAGGCCATGAGGCAGATCGTAGAAGCATGCCAAGCCCATGTGGCGTGTGAGATGGTTGACCCACTATCGCAGGCTGCTTTTGCTTCGCATCATGCGACTGATGTGGACAAGCATTGCCGGAGCATTCTCATGCATCATGCAGAACCATGGAGACCGCAGTGCCTGTTTCGCGACATTTTGGAGCGGACCCCGGGTTTTGCTCAGAAGCTTCTGGAATCCGAGCGACTGGAAATTCTGGACGAGATTGGGCTTGGAGAGAAGTCTCGCAAGCGCAAGGCTCCAGGCACTTTCACATCCGCCATCGCAGAGAGGGGACGAGGATTCATCCAGAAGGCGGTCACCCTGCTGCTGAAGAACATGCCGAAGGATGGTCCAAAGGCGTTATGTGGAAGGCATGCACGCAACTGTTGCGTGAATCCGGCTGTGCCATTGCAATCCGAGTTGGGGCCCAAGCCCTTGATCCTCCATGTCTCCGGCTTCAACTGCTATGATTGGAGCAGTATGGGAGTCGGCCTCAAGTTCCTGGGGCCTTCAAGCCTGCCTTTCGCACAGTGGGTTGCGGAGCGCAAGCGCTTTCAAGAGCCTATCGTTGTGGCAGAATGCACAATGAACTTTGATTTCTTTCACTTGCAGAAGATGATGGAGCCAGAATACCCTTCAGAGAAGTCGTTTGCTTTGAGGGTCTCCCCTGTGATGCTGGGGGAACCTGTGGAGCGAGTGCGCATGTACATGTTTTTCCTCAGCAACGAGATGACATGGAGGCAATCTGAATCTGTTGAAAGACAAACTGCTGGCTGGGCGTCAGACTTGTTTGTGAGGATTTTCCACCATAATGTGGTCATGTCTCCGTGCGACAAGTTTCAGGGCCCTGAGGAGATGGTCCGTGACTTTATCAAGAAGACTGCCATGAAGCAGCATTTGCCTCCCTCTACTTCCAGCGGCAAAGAGTGGAGCTTTGTTCAGGCTTGCAGCTCGGCAGTGCAAGAGAAAATCGAGATGCACAATGCCTGGCTGCACGCTGACCTTGCAGCCAATGAGATGGTTTTCGAGCCAGAGAACTGGGTATGCAATCTATGGCAAACTCCGGCATTCATGGCTCCATCATACAAGAAAGTGCCTTGCTTGCTTCGAGGCAGCCACCTATACTTGTTCAAACAGAAGAGATGTGCGTTGGAGCTGGAGCTGCTTGAAGTGCAAGGCTGGTGCATGTTTGATACTGCAGCTCCTGCAGGCGTGGCGGTGGGGCAGCGGGGCAGCAGCCTTGTGGTACTTTTGGTTTATTTCTTACGACTTACGAATTCGTTTGCTCTGCTAGGGGACTAGGGGCACGTGCAGCAGTTCAACACACAGTTTCACGAGCCCTGCTTCACTTGTGGTGGAGGTGGGGGCAGTGTGGAGGTGTCCTGGATGTGTGGGGGGTTGGGTAATGCAAAGCCATATCATATCGCACACCTGTGAGTCTGTGACAGCCTTGTGATCTTTTGAGCGTCGCGGTTCATAGGTTGGGGCTTGCTTGAGGGGCGTGGGGGAGGGGGGGTTGAGGTAGGTTGGCATCTCAGCCTCAGCCCGCATGTGATTGAAACTGACAGGCGCGCTGCAGGAGCTTCGCTGGTGCTTGAGCATCTTGCCGAGCAGCAAGGTGAGGGAGTTGGCCGGCAATGGGATGCATCTGCATGTGCTGACAGATGTCCTTATGTTTGCTCTCAGCTGCAGTATGCCAGCGTTGAGTGAGGGGCGCCAGGATTGATAGTGCCAAAGCTGGCATAAACGCCAAGCTCAAGGTCATCAGAGTCGTGGTCAGCAGACTGAAGTTCTCCGAAGCAGAGCCTGTGTGAAAGTGCTTTTTGCAAGTGCAGGAGCAAAGAATGATTCCCCTGCCATCCCACTTCAGTCCCCATGACTCCCATGACATGGACTGGCCCCGCCACAGACTATGTGTCTAAGTAGTATGGAATTGCTTGAGGCCTGGACAGCGGCGGGCTGGTCGGCTGGTCATGTTTTGGCCACTTGCGTGTCACACGCGTCATGTTGTGCAGGCACTGTGTTGTTCCTTGATTTCCTAGATCCATGATGAGCGCCGTGCATGTTGTCACAATGACAAGTTTTGACCTGAAAGCTGCTGGACTTCTCTTCTCAAGTGCAGTGCAAGCCCAAGTCCAAGCCTGGGCCTGGGCACAGCAGCGGCACAGCCCGAAGGGCACGCCGCGGTGTGTCAACATGGATATGGATGTGGATGATGAAGCAGATTTGTTCCGTGATGATGACGTAGACCTTGACTTGGATAAGGCTGGCGAACAAAGCGGCAGCCCAGGTGGCAGCCAAGAGAGTGTGAGTGAGAGTCGAAAGTCACGAAAGGGGAAAAAAAGGAAAGCGCGAAGCCCATCAGGATCCAAAAAAAAAAAAAGAAAGCTGCCTCTGATGATAGCAAGCAGAAGCCACGAAGAGCAACAGCAACAGGAAAGCGACACGCCAAGGCCCACGCCCATCCCAAAATGAAGGCTAAGGCAAAAGCAAAGGGCCAGAGCCAGGCTGACCAGGAGGACCCATCGCAAAGCTATGACGGCTGGAAGAAGTGCGGTTTGTGTAGAAAGTGGCTTGCGCAGGACGCTTTCAACCAAGATCAATGCAAATGCAAGGCTTGCAACAACGGCACAAGGCAGTTCAACAGGTTGTGCGAGAAGCAAGACTGCTGTGACAAGATCAAGAAGCTGACTGCCAAGGACTGGCTTGCAGTGGTGATTCAATGGTTCGGGCAGCGGGCATCCCCTTTGTGTGTTATCTCAGTGCTTGGGAAATAAGCAAACAAACCCTAATCCACACAGTCAGCGAGCCGCCAGCCAGTGTGTGAAGGAGCCCCGTGTCGTTGATGAGACGATGAGAGAGTTCATCAAGGAGCTGAGTTGAGCAACAAGTCCACTGTCGCTCTTTTGTCAAAAGTTTGGTGTGTTATGTCTTGACTGTAAAGCAAACTAGAGTGTGTAATGTGGCGAGATGAGTCTACATTGTTTGTCTTTTTCAAGACGCAGCCTCCGCAGCATGCATTATGTCACTTCTCAGACTCAGACCAAGCCGGGTGGGGATTGGCAGCAGAAGCTGAATTAGCCTGCTGACGTTTCCATGTTTCAGCGTGCTTAGCAGTTTCTTGGTAGGGTGTATTGCAGTGTGCTACAGTTTGGTTTCTTGTAGTGAGCAGAAAAACAAACAAGTGAGTGCCTAGTGGTGATGACAGTGGTGATGTATTGCTAACCGTATACCGTACGAAACCATTACTGAAGCAGATTTTTGCCTCCTGCATGGCTGAGTACTGAAGCACTGAAGCATATTGGTATACCCAGTATTATCAAGCAGCCTACTATCCAGTTTGATCAGCCTTCTTTTACTGCTTGTCTCCTGGCTTACGCAGGAGAAGAACCGGCTTCTGAGCGTTGGTGAGAAAATCCAGTTTAACGTCATGGACTTCATTGTGAGGCTGAAGAAGTCCGAGGGCACCAGATATGCCCGGATTGCGGAAATGATGTGGGAAATTGAGTACATTGAATGGGCCACAAAAACGGCCAGGGGAGGATATCTCAGCAAGGAAGAGGCCGGCGCCAATTGGGATAGGTGGAAGGCTGATGTGACGCACACCCGCGACCACAAAGGACATGCTGGGGCAACGGGCAAAGGGATTTGTTTGTGTTTTGCCTTTTTGCTGTTGAAGTATCTTTGAACAATCCATCCAGGACCTCGCGGATTCCTGCGGCTGAAGGTGACGGGGTCTGCAGAGTCTGCATTCGAAACTACTGATCTATGCTGTTTGCAGTCGCAGCGTCCATCAAACAAGCCAGGTGAATGTCACTGACCGGGTCGAGGAGTACAACGACTTCTCGAAAGAGAGGGAAGTGGAGAAACGTGAGAAAATTGGCAAAAAAGCGGCCCAGAATGCGCAGGTCATGGGCGACCGGTTGAAGCTTGTGTTTGCCGGGTCTGCTGGCGGGGACTCCATGAACTTGGTGGCGGGACAGTCAGAGGAGAGCTTGAAGAGATCCTATGACCGAATTGCAGCCTTTGGATTGGACGCGGATGAGGCGGCTGACATTGTTCAGCTGGATCCTGAGGAGTGCCTAGACACTGCAGACCGAAAGCGGCGACGAACCAGCCGAGGCAGAACTCATGAGTCATGATTCATGAGTGATGAGTCCATAAGCATTGATTGCCAGCTCATTTCCCAGGAGCCGGCCCATGTTTCAGCATGCAGTGTTTTAGGATTGTAGACAGTTTCAGCATCCGTTTCTTGCGGTAGGCAGTGCGGCAAAGCCAGGGGAAAGCGAGGAGGAGGAATCCTCATCCGGAAAGGCCGCTTAGCTTAATGGTATGATGTTTTATTGTCGTCCTGGTAGCTACGACTGCTCTCCTTGCCAGGCTTCTGAGGAGGGCCAGAGCCAAGAGACTCCGAAGCCACAGCCGCGACCGGAGACATGGATGGACGAGACGAAGATCACGGCTGCGGAACGAGCCTGGAGTGAGACCATCTCGAGCCTTGAGACGGTCATGCACAAAGTCATTGAGGATGCCAAGGCCACCTTACAGGAATTCCGCAACAGCACGGACAAGAGCAGGTACCAGAAGGAGATGGCCATCTTGGACAAGCGAATGTCTTGGGCAGCTGCTGTGGTGGATGGGTCCATCCAGAACAAGATCAATGAGCAAAAGGCGCTCCAAGGCAAGTCCCAAGCAGCTGGGGCTGGAGCTGTGACCACCACAAGTGATATGTCTGCCCTTACGCGAGCAGCTCCGTGTGCAACATGGGAGGACCTCAAATCGCTCGCGGCTTTGCGTTTGGATGGCGGCAAGTACAGAGCCTGTGCCACTTGCCTTTGCCATTGCCCAGGGCCCAGGCAGCTCAGTCTAGAGTCCAGAGTCAGGCCCAGGCCCACGCGGCCCAGGCATTGCTTCACTGCACTTCTGAGGGTTTAATTAATGCTGTGAGCTGTGAGTGCAAGCCTCTCCAGTCCAGTCCAGTCAGCCACTGTCGCAGTCGCAGTCCGAGTGGATGATCATGAACATTTCGCAGCATGAGCCCATGTTTCAGTTTTAACTTTTCAGCGCGCAAGGCTGACCCTGTTGCTTGTTGTTTTTTGCAGCGCTTCAAGATTGAAACTGTTACTGCTTAGTATAGTCTAGTTTAGAAGGGGCTCCCACCCACCCTGTAATAGCGACTACAAGGATACAAAAATTATATCGGGCCCTATTATATTCCTATTATACCACAATTACAGGGTGGGTGGGAGCCCCTTCTAAAGTCGAGTAGTCACAATCTAGTATCCAAGGCCAATCGAGATGACCTGAAGGCAGTGACCGAAAAGCTCAAAGAGCAAAAGAGAGTGCAAATGGTGCTCATCCAAGCTACGAAAGCAGCCCAGTCAGATCTAACCAATGCGCGCAAGAGATTCGAAGCGAATCAGAAGCGGGAAGCAGAGAAGCAGAAGAAAGAAGAGGAAAAGAAAGCAAAGCAAGAAAAGGATTCCAAAGCCAAACGCCCCAAAGTCAAAGCGAAAAGTGTGCACGCGGTCTTGAATCCTGAGCTGATGTCCGTGTTGCCAGAGCTCCCCAGGTACGCGGCTGATGCAGGCTGTGACTGGGCCACTAGTGCTCATGAGCTCTTGCATTTGCCATGGGTCCAGCGTGCCGGCTTAGGCAGCATGAACCAGTTTGCGGATTTGAACGAGTTGTTGCAAGAGTTTGCGCAAGCTTTCAAGCAGTCTGCTTTGCGCGTGACGGAGGGACGTGCGACTAAACAAGTTCCCGAGAGCGCGAAATTCTTTAAGCACTTGCAAGCGGAAGAGGTTTTGGACGAATCTTTGTTGCTTGGGCTTGAGGACTTGCAGTCTGCTTACAGCAAGACGTTTCCTTCGACACCTTTGGTTATGGGAGAGGCTGCAAAGAAGTTGTTGCGGCCTGCCTTGTTCGCTATTGCGCAGAATCACTGCAGCATTGCGAAATTTGAGCCGGGCTTGCTAGGAAGCTTGAGGTACCATCATGCCGGAAGCTACTTGGTTTCGATTTGGGTGCCAAAGGACGATGAAGGTGAGCCGCCGAAGGACTTCTTCAAGGATGTGACAGACAGTGTGAGCAAGGCAACGCCGGACGATGTCAAGGAAATGGGAAAAGCGAAGCTGTTCTTCATGGGCACCGTCTCTGAGGGGGACCTGCTCTACATACCACCCGGAGCTCTGGTTTCTGTTCAGGCAGGGTTTGCAGATTCTTCCATGCAGTCCCAACCCAAACCCAACAGAACAAATCGTGTAAGCCCACTGCGCACTAATAAGTCATGTGCTGTTTTT